GGATGGATGGATGGATGGATGGATGGATTGATGGTGGATGGATGGATGGATGGATGGATTGATGGTGGATGGATGGATGGATGGATGGTGGACGGATGGATGGATGGATGGAGAGATGGATGGATGGAGAGATGGAGAGATGGATGGATTATTTTTATTATTTTTTGTGTAAATATGAGATAAATCAGAGGAAACCATCTTGTAACGTAATAATTTGTGTTAAATTAGCATTAGCATTAGCAWGATTCAGCAGAGCTACACTCTGGATAACAAGATGCTACAGAAGCTAATGCTAACAGTTCAATCTCTCATCAGAACATGACCTTATTTTAAAACTTCCTCCTCCTTCATCGCCTCGTTTCTTTTAACCACACTGAACGTTGTGACCTCCTCCTGACCTCCTCTGGCCCCATGTCTCTTTCTCCCCCTCAGATGGAGGGGAGCTGCCCCCCCACATAGAGCAGAGGAACGGCCAGCTTCATTTCACCAAAGTGACCCGCAGCGACGCTGGCAACTATACCTGCATCGCCTCCAACAGCCTGCAGGGGGAGATCAGAGCTCTGGTGTCGCTCACRGTGGCAGGTAAACCTCTCAGCTGTRCTTCAGGGGACAGGAAGTGACCTGCAGGAGGGGGGAGGAGTTTCACTCTCGTTAAGTTTAATGTGCATTTTCTAATCACAAACCCTGAGTCTGAGTTTTTTTTCTTTTTATCTGTGCAGTTTATATCCGCTTCAAGGTGGAGCCTGAAAACACCACGGTGTACCAGGGACACACAGCCGTCCTGCACTGCCAGGCCACCGGAGACCCCGGGCCTCACATCCACTGGATGGTTAAAGACAAGGCTCTGGACATCAGTAAGAACAGGAGGTAAAGATGGAGGGAGGGATGGATGATATTTGCATATAAAACGAAGCAGAAGTAAAAGGCTGTCTGAACATTAAATACTCCAGTAAAGTATAAATAAGCAAAACAAAGTATTTGTACTTCAGTACTTGACGTCTCTGTAAAACCGTGTTTTCTCTGTCGGCTCTTCAGGTACCACAAGATGCCAAACGGCTCTTTGATCATCAACGACGTCACCACAGACGACACGGGCAGGTACACCTGTGTGGCAGGAAACAGCTGCAGCATCAAAGACCGCGTGGCTCAGCTGTACGTCGTGGGTGAGTTAAACTGGTCTACACACACACACACGACACACACAAACACATTAATTAAACCTCCACACCTCTGTCCATCACCACACCGACAGGTTAATAACGGCGGCCTCGTCTCTGACGCGGTCGTCGGGGGTAAAGGCAGCGGGCGAACACTGAGATGTAATAAAGCTTCCTGCTCTGAGGCTGCTGCTCTGAAAACATTAAAACTACCTTCATCGCCTCACATGAACCTGTTTCCTCCCACAGCAGGAGGAGGACCGTGTTTCAGCTCAYCTCTGAGGAAAAACAACCAGTTTGGATGTTTGTTGGAGCTTGTCGGGGGGTTTGCATGACAAAAACCAGACCAGTACCGTGATCCAAACCTGCGTCTGTAAAACAGAGGAGAGGCTGGGGGGTTTCTTTCTGAACGACACATAATTAAAGCAGTTTAGAAATTACTCACATATTTTAAACTTTTGCTTGAACAAGAATAGAAATTAAATCAACTTAAGATGCATTTCATGCAAAAATAACAGTTTAAATGCTTCAAGGTGAAAAGGTTTAACAGTAAACTTTTATTGTGAGATAAATGAGCTGACTTTTACTAAAAGAAACATGAAAAATCTGTAGAAAATCTGCAAAAATGTGTCAAAGAGCTAAAATTTAACAAAAACTTGCAGAAAATAGTAACTATTGGCAAAAAACAGCTTAAAAAGCAAAAAAAAAAAACTATCATAAAAACAGAACAAGAAACAAAAGAAATATTTAAACAAATTTATAAAGCTGAAATTGTATTAGCTTTGTTAGCCATGTTGACACGCTAATTAGCTTTAAGCYTGTGATAAGAATCACTTTCGGCTACAACCCCACCAAGATTTACCTCAATATTTTCAAATCTGATTCAGCTGAAGGTGAAATAACTGGACTGTGCACAAAACYGATGAAATTAGCTAACAAAGGTTTGACAAGGCTAAAAGTAGCTAAAATTAGCAAAAGGAAGCCAAAAGTATCAGAAACAAGTTGAAATTACAAACAGTTGTGAAAGGAGTTCCAAGAACTTCAAATTAGCAGAAACCCCTAAAAAGGGGTAAAAAAATTGCAATCTGTTGAAAATTAGCTAAAACAGCTAAAKTTAGCAGAAAACTAGCAAATATGTACTTGAAAAAGCTCAAATTAGCAAAAAGAAAGACATGTTTGCTGAATTAAATAGAAAGAAGCTTAAATGACCACCAAAATGTGAATTTACCTTGAAAAYGCTAAATTTAGCAACAACAACAAAAAAAAACAGCTAAACAGTAGCCAGAATTGCAGAAAACAGCTGAAAGAAGCAAAAAAGCACTAAATAGTAGAACTTGGAAGAAGAAAGGCAGAGAGGAGCAAAATGATAGCTGAAAAAAGCTAAAACTGTCAAAAAAAGAAGCTAAAATTAATGCAAGGAAGCTAAAAAATTTGAACACATTTGATCACATGAAAACATTTTGAAGAATTTTAAGGATGTCGAAAGTAGTTTTATTCATTTTCAATGAGAGAAAAACGTTAGATAAAGTGAAATAGCTAAAAAAGTATAAATAGCTGAAATGCCTTGAGTCATAGGAGTGTCCTGAAGGAGCCGAATGTTTTGATGTATGAATTGTTGAAAGAGTTGGGAGACAAAAACCATGCAGAACAAACTSTAATGATAAAGAATAAAGAGAAACCTGATCATTGTCATGTGAAATAATCAAAACTGCTCATCGTGTCAATCATCTGTTCTTACCTGACCGTACTGGTCTGTCTGTCCCCGTTAGAAAAACCGGCGCATGTCCACCCGTCGGATGACCCAGACGACCGGGCCCCCTACAAGATGATCCAGACCATCGGCCTGTCCGTGGGGGCGGCCGTGGCTTACATCATCGTGGTTCTGGGACTCATGTTCTACTGCAAGCAGAGACGCAARGCCAAGAGGCTGCAGAAGGGCCAGGAGGGAGAGGAGCCGGAGATGGAGTGTCTGAACGGTCTGAATCTCTGAGGGSTTTTATGAAACGCTTTAAGATCTCTGCTGCCACCTTGTGTTGATTCTGGGTACTGCATACAAGAAATTATATCATTTTATCATGTGGAGCTTCTGTGGATGGAGACACAAAACACTGCTGCCACTATTAACTTTTGTATTTAGTTTTTTATTTGTTCATTTATTAATTAATCTTCCCTTTAAAATACTTAATAATGTTTATTAACAACCTCAGTTCTAGAAAACGAGTAAAGTTTTAATTAGAACTGGATGAAATTACTCACAGACCTGATAAACTCACATTTTATTCACAATAAAAAAGTTAAAAAGTTTTTTTGAATTTTTTTATTTTTATTTTTTACAACTGATGAGGACAAACTTTATCAACAATTGTGCAACAGTTCAAAACAAACAAAAAATTACAAACCAAGACAGACCAAATTGTCACTGGTCTTAAGACTGGTGCAGTTTTTTTGTTTTTTGTTTTTTTTTTTTCCCAACAGAGATTTTTGGGTAGTAATGTTAGTTTGCAAATATATTTATTGCAAACAAAAAATTATTACAAACCTAAATAAATAAATGGGATAAAACGAATAAGTTTAATGAAGATAGAGATATGTAAATCAAAAACAAGAAGAATCCAGAAATGGATAGAGTACATGAAATTAAAAAAGTTAAATAATAAATTCAGTGCTAAATGTACGTCTACAGCATGAATAGAAAGGTAAAAATATCTAACAGATGCAGAAGTGTTTTGTAATTAGGTTAATCGGTGCGTAAAAAGTATTAGAAGTAATGATGGGCGGGGCTTCAGCAGTCTGGTTTTATAAATCCAGTTAAGCGTGTTGGATTTGTCACGTTTTCTCCGACTCATTTAACACGTGTTCTTCTCAGGAGATGCTGTGCAACAAAACGGCCACACCACGGCCGAGATCCAGGAGGAGGTGGCGCTCACCAACATGGGCTCTGTCGCCACGACCGAGAAACGCCACAGCAGCGCCAACGACAAGCTCAACTTCCCTCGCTCAAACCTCCAAACCATCACCACTTTAGGTACGATGAGCTCGCAGGTTTCAAGAGGCTKGACTGAAACAGGAAGTGGGTTGTGTTTTATTTTATTTTATTTTTTTTTTGACGTGCGCTTGATTCACAAACCAGGTAAGGGGGAGTTCGGCGAGGTGCTGCTGTCCAAGGCGAAGGGGATGGACGAGAGCGACGCGGAGACGGTGGTGCTGGTGAAGACCCTGCAGTCCAGAGACGAGCAGCTTCAGCTCGACTTCCGCCGCGAAGCCGAGATGTTCGCCAAGCTCAGCCACCCCAACGTGGTCCGGCTGCTGGGGCTCTGCAAGGAGGCGGAGCCACACTACATGATCCTGGAGTACTACGACCTGGTAATCATACAYGAACACAAACATACGGGTTTTTAATTCTGCCTTTTATCTGATTTAAAACGTGTTTTTTCATGGCAGGGAGATCTGAAGCAGTTCCTGAGAATTTCTAAAAGCAAAGATGACAAAGTAAAATCTCAACCAATCAGCACCAAGACCAAAGTAAGTCCTGAGTGGTACTTTTAGTTTTTATTACCAGCTCTAAACCAGGGGGCGGATCTAGATGTTTTGCAATGGGTGGCCAGTGTTTTTTTTTTGAGGGGTGCCTACAAATAAAAGGATTTAAAAATTCAAGATGGCCGCCACAGCTAATTCTAAATGACTTTCATTTTGTTTGTGTGATTATAGCTGCTAAATGTGAGTTGCAACTAATTATTCAGCCATTTGAAGGCACACAGAGATATAGATTAGTGTAGAAGTAGCTGAAAACAATCCTTACAAAATTCTAAATGCTAATCAAAAATTCAAGATGGCCGCCACAGCTAACTTTAAAAGGCTATAATTCAGCTATTGAAAGATTTATTGAGTTGAAATTTGTTGTGGATTAGCTAAGAATGATCACATGCCAAACGCCGATGCTAATACTGTACCAAACTAGAGAAATTGTATTTCCAGTAAAAATGCTAGCGTGAATGCTAAAAGCTAAAGTTTAATGCAAGTTAATTTGAAAAGCAAAAGAAGCATAAAAAACTCAGATTAGCAGAAAGAATAACAAAAAACAAAAATTAGCAGAGGAATAGCGTAAATTAGCTTTAGTAGCTAAAATTAGCATAATAAGAAGCTAAAGTTAGCAGACACAATATGGTGAAAGTGGTGTAAAAAAACAAAATTAGCAGAAAAAAGAATGAAAGTACAAAAAAGTTGCAATTTGTTGTCAAGTAGCTAAAACAGCTGAAATGTGCATCAAAACAGCTAAAATGTAGCTGAAAATGCTGAATGTAGCATAAAGAGGCAGAAGGAGTACGTTTTCAAAACTTAGCAGAAAAAGATGAAATGGTCCCAAAAATTTACATTTAGCTTAAAAACTAATTTTAGCTAATAACAGCTGAACAGTAGCTAAAACTGCAGCTGAAATGAGCTGAAAGAAAAATAAAAAGCTCAATTTAGCAAAGAGAAGCTAAAAGTACAATTTAGCAGATGAATAGCAGAAAGAAGTCAAAATTTAGCAAAGAAATAGCAGGAAAAAGCTAAAATTAGCAAAAAAAAAAGCTAAAATTAGCAAAAAAAATGCTAAAATTAGCACAAGGAAGTCAAAAAGAGCTGAACCTGAACAAAAGGTGCAAGGTGCTGTAAAGATTTATAAACATTTAGAAGGATTTTAAGGATGTAATAAACGACTCCATTCATTTTCAGTGGGAGAAATGTGGCCGAAAAAGTGAAATAGKTAAAAAGTACAAATTACTGAAATACCAAAAGTCATAGCTGGAATGTCCTGAATGAGCTGAACGTTTTGATYTATGAATTGTTYAAATAGCACAAAAATTGCGCAACGAGATAGGTTCAAAGTTACGTACAGACGAAAAAATATTCATCTCAATTTAGCTAATGCTAATTTTACAAATGGCTATAATTCAGCCATTTTTACACACACACAGCTGAACATTTTGTACAGTACTGTCGTATCAGAGAACGATAAATAAAATCCTCATCTGCTTGTTAATTATTACGGGGTGGCACCTGGAGGGGGGCGGGGTATTTGCCACCCCGGCCACCCCTSTGGCTCCGCTTCTGCTTTCAACTTAAAAAATGCATTTCACATTTTTATTTGTCTCTTGACGTTGTCCTTGCTTCCCTCCAGGTGTCCATCTGCGCCCAGGTGGCCCGTGGCATGGAGCATCTGTCCAACCACCGCTTTGTCCACAAAGACCTCGCTGCTCGAAACTGTCTGATCAACAACCAGAGACGGGTCAAGGTGTCCTCGCTCAGCCTCAGCAAGGACGTCTACAACAGGTCTGAAACCCTCGMTATTAATCTGAGTGAAGTCATCGAGTCTGACTTCCTGTTTGTTTCTTTGTGTGGAAACAGCGAGTACTTCCACTACAGACAGGCGTGGATCCCTTTGCGCTGGCTGCCGACAGAGTCCGTGTTCGAGGACGACTTCTCCACCAAGTCGGACGTGTGGGCCTTCGGCGTGTTGATGTGGGAGGTGTTCAGCCACGGAGAGATGCCGTACAGCGCTCTGAGTGACGACGAGGTGCTGGAAGGTGAGCCGGCATTACTTCCTGTTTTTTTTTAAAGATCCATGATTAGTTGTAACAATAGACTTGATTTAATAAACATTTATTTTTACTGTAAAATAAAGACTGTAAAAATACTGCAGGCTGTTTAGTTTTTATCATTTAAAAATATATATTTTAACCGAAACGGAGCCATTTTATCTACACACAAAGCATTCTGGGTAAATGATGACGTGGATAGGTCCTCGGTGCGAGGCTGCTAGCGAGCTATATCCACCCTGAAGG